CAAATCACTCATTAGATTTATCTTCTAAAAGAATATAGAAAACATTCTTGGCCCAATTAGGACTTGAGGTAAGAGAGTGATTGTTGTTACATGAAACCTAGGCTCGGCACCTGGAAGGGACAGCGGTATTGGTTTCCAGAGTGTTAAAGCAGGGCTGAGTAGGAAAGACAAATGAGAACTTCCTATTCCCCTTCCTGCCCTAGTTCTGAAATACCAGTTCTGAAATGCCAGCATCTGAAATACCAGTTCTACCTTCCTAAGGAGATGATGGAGCAGAAGATGTCAGAAGATCTGGGTTTGAACCTGTTCCTTCCTTACTATAAATTAGTAAGATGGTAAGAGAAAATGAAGTAGTTTTCTTTCTGAGTCTCATTTATCAAACAATTGTAAAATGGGAGTGGCAATAGTGCCCACTGATGAATTTTGGCCCATTTCAAAGGGTTGCTGTGAGATGAAACGAGGGGACGGATAATGCTTCTATAATGCTATGCAAATGTAAATCACAGATATGCAAAAACAAGTTACTGCTATTTCCAGAACCTCTCTTTAAATTTAATTTATTCAAGAATGAGACTATAAGTTACTCGCTCCATGTTCTCAGTGCATTTGTATTTTAAACCCCGTCAATTACCATGGACTTTGTCTTTACCCAAGCAGTTTTTGGCAGAGAGGGGAGAAAGAGTTCTGTGGGGCTGGAGGGTATTTCTGTTTGACCTTCATTAGCGAGGTAAATGGTGTTTATTTGGCTGAAGTTAGACAGAAGAGAGAATAAAAGTTACTGGCCCAAGTACAGGACGGTCCCTCTTTTGCTTTCATGACCCTGGTCTAGCCATCACTCATAGAGGGCAAATGTGGGAGAAAGAAGTGGTGGGGAGCAAAAGGAGCTAAGACAAGATCTGAGAGTCAATTGTAGTAGTCCCTTAGCCAGCCCTATACCCAAGGGAAACAGCCGAAAGGGTCACCTTACTCCTTCACGCTCGAGCATACGTTCATGGAGGCTTAGAATACCCCAGAATATGGTCTTTAACATGCTAAGTATTTCAAGCTAAAAGACTGTTAAGCTTCAGAAACAACTCCCTCACATTTTCCTGCCCTCCTCACCTGCTCTGAAGAGCAGAGTGACCTCCTTTGAGGAGGGATGTCCCCTCCCCACAATGCCATCAAATGGAGAAGACTAACCCCAGGAAGGAGAAACAACAGGTGATAGCACCTGCCCTTCCGAGGACTACTGCGTGAGAAGCCTTGCCATTTAGGTCCTCTCCCACTTTGATAATGTCACCCCTCTACTGCCAACGACCTACTCCCTGATTCCTTTCTGTAGCTTAGGAAGCTGCATAAGCTTTAGTCATTTGTTCCTTCTTTGAGTCTCATTTTGTGTGGCTCTCAGATACGTGTTCATGGCATGTATTTGTATCCCATCTCTCTTGTTAATCTGTCTATTGTCAGCTCATTTCATAGACCCCAGTATCCAATCTTCAGGTAGTAGAAGGAGACTTTCCCTGGCTCCTGCACACTCTGCCAGTATCACTGAGCACCTGTTGTATACAGGCAGTGTGCTGGGTACTGGAAACAGACATGAGGAATGATTAACAGACTTGCTGCTTGTATTTTAAGAGGAAGTTGGCGTTAATAAAACCAGAGAAGAGTATCAAAGGCCACCCACAAGGGATGAGAATCCAACAGCAAGAGAGATAACCCAGCCTGGGTGCTGAAACGCCAGAGGTGAATGGAAGTTGGGCAGTCAGGGGTGGAGATGAGGGTGAGCTTGTGGGAAGTCCACAAGAAAGAGAGCAAGAAGTCAAAGTAGGCTTTCTAGATGTTTCTCCACCCCCCTCCCACCCCCCACTTTGGGGGTGTCCTTGTGTGTTTTCTTGATTTCTCTGGGTGTCACTGTTTTAAACGTGATTCCACCTAGATAGAAATGTAGGAGACTACGACCACCAGCCCCACCTGAAATAGCGCAAGACATGCAGAAGCACAGTGGAGTGCCCTGTAAAATCTGGCCATGGGTTCAAGACTGTTTTTTCACTCAGGCTATGTTTCTCACTAAATTACCGTGCATGGCGATTTCTGTCATAATGGTAGGGTAGAGGAGAATGGGGGTACTGCCTCTCCTCGGTCTACATCCCTCACCCCAGCTTTGGCATGATTCTGGAAGGATGGAAGAAGCAGTAATTTGTTTACAACCCAGTGCTGGATTGTGGAACTGGGAGGAGCACCTCATTCACGTTGTACAATTCAGCTCCGACTCCTGACCTGTGGCTCTTCCTGTTTTATGCCCCTGTTGGGAGAAGGGATGGCCAGGGCTGTAAGATCTCTTATTTTCATTTCATGTGGCAAGCAATCAATTTCCAGAGAGGTGAAATTGGCTAGGTAAAGTCCCAGTAACTTGTCTCTCTTGCTACCTGCACATGATCTTCTTATCTGTGGGCCTTCACAATTTACACAGCTACTTCACATGCATTATCCCATCTGGTACACTCAGTTGTCCTGTGAGATAGAGATGGACAAAGACCCTTATTTTGCACATGAGAAAACGAAAACTCCAGAGAGGTTGTTTGGCCAAGTCCCCGTAGCTACAAAGCTGATATTCTGATGGAGAATTGTGTGTGCTTCACACCATGGGCTTCACACCCAGCACATTCGTCTCAAGGTGTGCTGGTTATCCACCCGAGGATGGCCTGGAATACAGAGAAATGATTATCACGGAGGGCTTGCAAAGAGGACATTAACCATGTTTCAGCATTCTTGCCAGTTCACCAGCATCTGCGTTGAGAACAAAAATGAACAGGAGCAAGTAGCTGGCTCTACTCTGTTAAGCCTTCTGTGCCAATTGCTATCTGAACCTCAAGCCAGCCATTTGCCTGAGTAAACCTGGTCCTTATTTTCGATTCACACCTACGAGAATGTGTCTCTGTCCTCTGCTGGGACTTTGGCAATCGTTCTTGTCCAAGCTTTCATTAAACGCACGCATCTTTAAAAACCAGTAACTGAATCATCACGGGATGTTCTGATCTAGCCATTTTCCCTTGGGGACTATTGGGAGTTAGTGATGTTTTTGCTGCTGGTCTCCTGGGAAGATGGTCCTGACCTGAATGGGCTGGTCTAGTTGGGCATCAGGAGGTGACAGTGGTCTAGTGTCTATCCTAGAGGATCTGTGACTTGCTTGGTGGTGAGGATGGGGGTGATAATGGCAAACATCGTCTGCCTGGGGAGGGGCTGTAGGGGCAGGAGGAGGCAGGAGATGTGCAGCATTTGAAGCTGAAAGCCCCAGTCCATTTGGCATGGGATGGTCCAATCCCAGGTTTAGCCAGCGAGGCAAGCTTGGCCCTTTGATTCATTTTGTTATCACCCTAACGGAGTTCCTGAAGCTGGGTGCTATATAAAGAACAGAGCTTATGGCTCTGGAGGCTGGGAGATTCAAGAATATAGCCCAGAACAAATTGGGTCAGCTTTGTAAGGAGGGTCTTACACTGCCTCAGCTCACCGTGGGCAGCAGGAAGGTGAGCAGGAGCCTGCCAAGGAGATCAAAAACAAGGCGTGATCCCACTTGTAGGCGGCTCTGCAGGGCAAACCACTCTTAAGAGGCATTGAACCCTCTGAACAATGATCAACTTTTGGAGCGCCCCACCTCCCAGCATGGATGCAGAGGGACAGGCACACTCAGTCCCCAGCACCCTGCTTTGGCAGGCTGTCAAGAGGTGGTGCCAGGAAGGGAGACTAGTTAAAACAGCAGAGGTAGGAACCGCGCTATTGCGGTTTGTTAAGCATGATGAGTCTCTTGGGGGGAGGGGGAAGAAGGGGATTGCGCTAACCGCCCCTTCCTTCCTCTAAAGTAACGGCTTTTGCACAACCCTGGAAGCAGTCTCTCTTCTAGCCCAGCTCTCTGCTTTGTAGTTTTATCAACAAGCAGGATGTGAGTCTGCAGAGCAGGGGAACCTAAAAGGCACTAGGGGAGGTTGCACTCCATAATCGTAGCTACTGGCTCCAACTTGCAAAGACGCGGTTTTCCCCTGGATGGGCTTCAGCTGCTCCAGCTGAGGCTTCGTGAACAGAGAGGGTGTGCATGTAGGGCTCTCTGAAATCGTCCTGCCTTCTCTTGGGGTGTCTGCCTGCTACTGTAGCCAGCAGGCGCCTGTGAGCAGCCTCGGTCGCTGTCTGAAGGGACTGGTAAACATGCCAGAGTGACTGCCGAGGCAGGGGTGGCTCAGCGCTTGATCCCCTTGAAGGGGGCACTGGCAGGTTTCCGTGCTGCCCTGTGCGGCGCCGAGGTCTTCACGAGAAGCCAGGACGCCTTGGAGGACTGTGTAATTGTCCGGGTGTGGCCAGTTCCTTGTCAGATGTACCCTCGTTTTTATTGCCTCCGGTGCAGGTGGATCTTTATTTATGCACGGGGGCAGGGGCGGTTAAGTTGCTCTAGAGAAGTTTTTGGTCGTGGTCACTTCAAATACGTTTTGGTGCCCGGTGTAGTCAAAACTCTGTGAGTTTCACAACGGGACAGGTTCCTATCTGAACTCTTCCTGATTGTAGTGTGGCGTTTTGGGGAGCTAATTCGGTTAGGGATGTGGGGAGAAGGTGGAGATAAGGCCAGAGCCTGGGGAGGTGGTCCTGGGGCGCACAGGCAGGGGGGCTGTGCAGCCTGGAAAGAGGAGTGGGGCCACGGAAGCCCCGGTTCAGGGCGACCTCGACACGACCCCGCAAACAAGGCAACTAACTCCAGGGAAAGCGAGTGGACCCCCGCACCAGTCTTGTCTACAGGGGTAGGGGGATCACCAAGTGTATGTACCCTTCGCCTGGGAAGGGGACGCGCGACTGCGGGCTGGTCAGCAGGCGGCCGGCTGCCTTGACTTCCCCATCCTGGCCGGGGGAGGGGCCGCGAGAGCAGAAAGTGCGCGAAGGGGACGCGCGGCCAGCCGCACACGTGACGGCGCCGCGCCGAGCGGGACCTGGCGGCGGCGGCCCGGAGCGGCGCGGGCGGCCTGGAGCCCCGGGAGCGGCGCGCGCGCGGCCCCGGCCCCGGCGCTCTGCCGGCGGCGCGCTGCACATTCTCTCCTGGCGGCGGCGCCACCTGCGGTAGCGTTCGCCCGAACATGGCGACACGGAGCAGCAGGAGGGAGTCCCGACTCCCCTTCCTATTCACCCTGGTCGTGTTGCTGCCGCCCGGGGCTCTCTGCGAGGTCTGGACGCAGACACTGCACGGCGGTCGCGCGCCCTTGCCCCAGGACCGGGGCTTCCGCGTGGTGCGGGGCGACCCGGGCGAGCTGCGACTGTGGGAGCGCGGGGATGCCAGGGGGGCGAGCCGGGCGGACGAGAAGCCGCTCCGGAGGAGACGGAGCGCTGCCCTGCAGCCCGAGCCCATCAAGGTGTACGGACAGGTGAGCCGTTGTTGCAACCCGCCTCCTTCTAGCTCTCTCCTCTCCCCCGCACTTCCTCACCCCCGCATCCATCCTTTGGCGGCGAGCCTCCCAGGTGCAGGCACCGCTGGGGACTTCCCGGCTTGCATTTCCCCCCGTTCCCCTCAGATGAGTACAACCGCCCGCACAGGAATCGCGTCGAGCTTTCCTTCTTCCTGCCTGTTCTAACGTATTCCTTGTAACTCTCGGGGTGCTGCGCCCTTCTCTCCCGGGTGTGTGCACACCGGTGTAGTTTACGGCAGGTATGAGAAGGCGGCAGCTCCATTCTGTCGCTGGATGGCAAAGCGGGCGTTCTCTCTGGTGTCTCCTCAGTTGGCGGTGGAGGCGAGCGCCCTGCAGTTGTAGCCCACGTAGGGCAGCGGGAGCTGGGGCTCTCGACGCGTCTACCCCGACCAACCGCAGGAAAGGTGGGCAGACCCTGCCGCCCGTTCCCGGGCAGTCAGGACCGGACTGGTGAAGTGTAAGGCATGAATTTTTAATTTTCTACTTGGCAGAGTCCTCAACCTCACCATTCATTTCCCCCATTCACGATCTCGACTTTATCTTGGACAGGAAAATATCCCTCCCGGCACTTGGAGATGTGGGGGAGAAAAAAACCTGCAGGAAATGTGTGGACGTTATTATTGTCCAATCAGGGATCTGTTCTGTCTGGGCAAGGCAATGCATTCATTAGGTCATAAGTCAAACGAATGTTCACTTTCATGGCTGGACTCACTGCCAGGGATTGCAAGCTGGGTTCCTTGATTGATATCAACATTGGTGAAAAAAAAAATTGATTTGACTATTTGCTGCCTCATGAGACTCCTGGTCCTCGGGTTAATATTGACAACAGGCAGACTGGGAGGTGGAGTGTGTGTGTGTGTGTGTGTGGTGTGTTTACGTGTGTGAGATGGGACCACAGGGGTCAGGTGGTGGTGGTGGCCCTCTATGGGCGCATTTCCTAGATCTCTCGGAAGCAAAAATGAAAAAGATTCGCCTGCCTTGCTTCATGAATTTTTGCTCTGGCCAGTTCATGGAGAAGTAGATGGAGTTAAAGGTTCGGTCTTTGGAGCAGGCAGAGCCTGGCAGAGCCTAGCAGACCTTGTCACCGTGTGACTCGGAAGGGGAGCTGCCAGTCTCCCTGAGGTGACCGAGGTGCATTGACTGTTCCAAGGTCACACGGGGAAAGCACTGCGGACATTGCGTCTGCAACCTTTGGGTGACCCTCGTCACCCTGTCTTTGCACAGGGCCGTTTAGATTCCTCCCTGCTGGAGTGAACATGCTGGGAAGGGGAGGAGGGGGCTGGAGGTGTTGGACTTGTTGCTGTGGTGGGCACAGGCTGCCTCTGGTGCCTGGATCCTTGTCTCTTCCCTGCCCCTCTGCCCGAAACTTTTGTTTCTTTTGTGTGTTGTTGAAAAGAAGGGAGCAAGGCCCCCACTTTCCACACGCGGGGATGCCAGCCATGGCAGGCTGGGGGAGGGAAGAAGAGGAGCTTCCTTGTTCCCTGGCTCTCCTGGTTTAGTCCAGCCTGGCACTGCCATTGCCGGCGCCTGGGAATCAGGAAGATGCGACACAGGTCATCTTAGTGCTGGGTTCCCTGAAGCTGTCTTTTGGGTTAGAGCAGAGGACTTTCGAAGTGTCAAGAAATAGGTACACAGGTGCCCATTCTTCTTCTTCGGCTTTGGTTGGTGAAAGTCTCCTGGGGATTTGGGGGCGAGCGAGAGATGAACTTTGTTCTCAATGGGAAAGACTCCAAAAACCCTCTGCTTTTGTTTCCGAACCAACCAGACAGTTGAGTTCAGTTTGGAGGAGGGAGAGCTGGCCTTGGAGTTGCCCATTTTCTTCCCTGTGGCCCTTGTTCTCTCCTGCCCCGATGCTAATACAAAGTGGGATTAATTTAAATCATTAAGGATTTGAGTGAGATCCTGGTGCTAAGCTTTCTGTGGTGCCAGCCTCAGCAGCCTGGTGCATGGGACTCAGTCCCTGCCCAGCCTCCAGAGTGGCTTACCCTTGTCTTGTTTTTCCTTGGGACGGAGCTGGCTTCTCTGGAGAATGCTAAGGTGACATTCAGTTACCTGAGCGCTTTACTTGCAGCCCCAAGCCCTGTTCCACTTTAAGCTCTTCCCTCTCTCCCTTCCTTTTGTAACGCAAGGAATTGCCTCTTTTCCCAGCAGTACTGTTTGGATGGAATCTGGTTGCATGGAGGTGCGGATGGTATGAGGAACAAACTTTCCTTGCTAGAAATCCTTGCATCCGAGAAAGAGCCCTGTGTTAGAGCTTCCTTATCGGTCTACCCCACTAACCTGTGGAGTAACCGGATTTCTTTTATTTTGACCATATTCCTGTTCAGATCCCCCAAGGCAGAGTGCGAGGCAGTAATCATGCTGCAGTGATTACTTAAGATCAGTCATGTAACAATGAATATGGTATTAGAGGTGAAAAACAGATATCAGGACTTCATTGCCCAAGTTCAAAGTTTAGCAGTTGAGCCCCTTCTGAGGAGAGACCAGTCTGAGAGGCCAGCACCCTTTTGTTGTAGGCTAAACCTCCGTCTGTGGCTCCAGCATCCCATATAGGTGCTGCTTCATGTCCTGGCTGTTTCACTTCTGATCCAGCCCCCTGCTTATGGCCTTAGAAGGAGGATGGCTGAAGCCCTTGGGTCCCTGTACCTGTGTGGAAGACCCAGAAGAAGGGCTAAGAAGAGCTTTACATCCGTCTTGCCCCCATCCCATGAGCTTCATCCTGATTTCATGCCTGCTCCGTGCCTCTGCTGGCATGCTTGTTTTGTTGCTGCTTTTCCAACTCTCATTCTTGCCTAGAAAACCCTTTTTGTTCTTCCACATCGAAATCATCCCTCCCTGGTTCTGGCAGGAAGAGTCCTTTGGAACTTGGGTGTAACCGCTGTTGCTGTAATTGCGCTGTCTGATTGCCCTGGCTGCTTGTTGAGGGTAGGGATGAAAGCATGGTCCACCCTGCTTTCCTGGCACTGGGGAGGCCCTCACTGAATAGTTGTGAACCAGCTGCACACCTGGAAAAAGAGTGGCCTGGAGGCTGGGGAGCTCTTCCCAGGTCTGGGGCACATCTGTACAAGGAGGGTGGCTCTGAGCCCACCCCTGGGGAATTGTGGGTGGGGTCCCTTGGTGGTGAGGATGCAGCTGTGGTGGCAATGGGGGTTGAGCCCTGAAGTTCTGGTGTTTTCTGGGAGTCTCCTGGAATGGAGAGCAAGGATTCTGTTTGGTAGACTCCGTTGTTTTGGGGCTCTCATACTGGTTTGTGCTAATGGTGTTGTTTCAGGAAAAAGAAAAATCCTTTGGAGTGATGATGCACTGTGCCTGGTGGCACATACAGGTCTGTTTTCTTTCCAACAAGCTCTCTCTACATCATTCCTGTGTTTTGGTGGCCAGGGAGTATTCAGTGTCCTGATCTGAGGCTGAAAGTACAGTGTCTATTACAGTGCAAGGACCCAGGACAAAGGGCCTCCTTTGGGGCTAGGCTTCTGCGTGGCTTCAGATCTCCTGGGAGTAGATTCTTGCGCGATACACCTGCTTGGGAAAGAACTGGCTACTTGATTCTGAAGCTAGGATGCTTGACCCGCATGCTTCCATAAGAATATGAGAAGGCAAGTCTGTTGTGGTGTCAGGTTGGCTTGTGCGTGGGTGAAGAGTTGTCTGGGGTCTTGGGTTAACTTGATAAGGAATGTGACCTTGAGGGGAAAATCCCTTCTTGGCTGTATCTGGCATGTGCTCTTACAGAGCCTTGCTGAGTCTCTGCCGCTGATGAAGTCCTCGGGAGCTTGCGTGGGATGCGGAGATGCAGAGCCAAGAGGCTGTGAGAGGTGGAAAGAGAGGAAGCAAGGGAACAGGTGGGGAGAGGCAGAGAGAGGTGGGGAATTAGAGGGAGGAAATGACAAATTGTCCAGGTTGTCCACTGAACCTTTTGTAAGAAATGTGTAGGCACCTAAACAAAATGTATACACAAAGTACAAATAGGAGGAGTGTGATGACGAAACCCTGTGTGAATTTCGAATATTTTTTGTGCCCGAATAAGCCTACTTTTTCGTTCCGTTTTCCATGAACTTTTTGAAGCCCCTTGTAGATAGTGACAAGTAAATTTCTCTCTGTCCCATGGCTTCCATTGCCCCTTAGGCCCTTGCCAGTTGGAACCGTCATCCTTACATCCTTACGTAAAAATGGTAACTTCAGTTATCAGTGATGTGATGTTTCTACAGCCCCTGTTATCATGAATAATGAGATAAAACTTCAGCCATACGATGCGTTTGTGGCATTCTGACGGAATAGTTGGGGCATTCCGGCAAGTGTCATAGGGCAGAATGGATGGGTATATTTCCTCCAGGTCAAAGGTAAGAAAACCGACTTTCATTTCACACAGAAGGTCTCTGATGGTCAGGAGAGCAGCATTCTGTAGCTTTCTCCAAAGTCAGGGGTTGCGTAGTGGTTCTGTGGAGAAGTGGAGTCTAGATTTGTGAGAGAATCAGGATCAGAGCCCACAGGTCTTGGACTCCCTGCTGTGTATCTGCAAAATGAAGTTAGCACTATGCCTAAGTAATTGCTCTAAGACCAGGGGCCCAGGAGGTAGACCTTGGTAATATGAACATCTTACAGCAAAAGGTGCATGGTGTAGGAGTTTCTCACTGACAGGTGTTGGTCCTCTTTGGAAGTGACGTTCATTCTTGTAGTGTCATTGTTTAGTCTCAGGGTGGCGCTAGAGGGGGCGCAGTTCTGAGCTGTCTACTGAGGGGGACAGGGGCAAGCTGGCAACCTGCAGAGCAGGTAATGAAAAAATAACCTCTCTGACTTCAACATACATTTATTTTTAAAAAGATTTATTTATTTATTTAAAAGAGTGTCACACACAGAGAAAGAGAGAGAGGCACACGCAGGGTGAGTGAGAGAGAGAGAGAACTTCCATGGTCTGGGTCAGTTCTCAAATAACCCCGGTGGCCAGACTGAAGCTGGAAGTC